TTTTTAGAGAGAATTTGGTACAAGTGATCGTCAGAAAGAGTTAGTAATTTGCATCTAAGATCCCATCATGAGTAATATATTGGTTTACTGATAATATAAATTTTTTTAGATAATATAAGTTGTCTTGTTATATAAGTAATGCATCAGCCTATTAATAATATAAAAATTTAAATAATATTTTATTGTTTTAAGCAGATAATATAAGTTGCTTTGTTATATGAGTAATGTATTAACCTATTGATAATATAAATTTTTTAGTTAATATATTAATATTTAAACAGATAATATAAGGTGCTTTGTTTTATAAATAATGTATAAAACATAAAATTTTTAAACAATATTTTACTATTTTAAACCTATTATTAGCTAATATATATGTTATATTTTCTAATTTTATTTGATTAAATTATTATTTATTATTATTTTTTTTCTTTGATAACCTTGTACTAACTTTATTAGATAAAAATTATATGAAAACATATAAGTTATATAATCTAATATATATGTTAGACTAATACCTTACTGCTTCGAGAGTGTCCAAGTTGGTTATCACACTAATATTAGCTAACAATATCTGTGTATGCTAATACACATATTAAAGTATTGTTATAGCACAGTACTCAGCTATCTAAAATTTATTATTTATTAAATTTATTATTATCAATTAAAAAATAAATAAAATAATAATATATAATACTCTTCAGGAAAAAATATCAAAAAGTTATAAGATCTATTATCTGTAGAACACAATATTGAAAAAATATCACTTTTTAATTTTGTAAAATTATTGACTCTTTACTAATAATTGAATCCAGGATTTATTTAATGCAAACAAAATCTATTAAAACAGCTAAAATGCATTTAAAAACAAACAAGAACCAAACTATGCTTTCAAAGTCTTTGAACTGTTGCAAATTGTCTATTGTAATAAAAATTTTTTTCAAAAACCAATTATTTCTTAGAATGCTGCTATAAAAATGGGGTTGGATATAATAAAAATAATAGAAATCTTTATATTATTTAAATTTTCACAAAAAACAGATGGTTTGGAGACCAAAAAAAGAATCCAAATGAATAAAAAAAGAAATAATATGCAGCAAACAGATATGTATAAATTTAGTGATTTACAGAAATATTTACATATAAAAATCAATAAGTAATAAGTAGTATTTATGATTTTCTGTTTAAAAATAAAATTATATTTGGGTGATCTGTTAATTTTAATAACTTATTTAATTTGATTAAATTCTAATTATCGTAAAAAAAATCTATTAACCATTTCACAAAATCATATAAGGCTCTGTATTTTATTAACTTGAGCTAAGAAATCTTTAATATTAACTCTATATAATATTTGCTAAATAAAGTTCAGCAAAGTGAACAGTACTGTAAATTGTTCTTTAGATGAAATTCATGTACTTGGCTAAGTAAACTCTTATCTAAATCATGAAAAATAAGATTTTGACACAGGGGCCTATCTCTGTGTATTTTAAACTATAAATATAACATCTTTCTACATCTTGATATACTAGAAAAATAGATACCTATTAGTGTCTGAAGCCAAGAATAAATGGGGTGTTATACATTAAAACAGCCTTTTTTACATATAATTTATTTTGAAATAATTGAGTTTAATCATTTGTTTTGATTTTTGGACTGATCCGGGATTAATTAAATTTCACGATTTTGATTGGTTAAATGTAACAGGTGACTATCGGGTAATCTCATGATGTGTTGGCCTTACGTGGCCTTATGTAATTTTTCTTTTACAATTATCTTGATTTTTTATTATGCAAATCGACTTTCATTTATAATTGAAAAATATCGATCATGTCAAAATTTATATAAATCTAATGAAAACTTAATTTTCAAAAAATTGCAAAAAAGGGCTGTTTTAATGTGTAACACCCCAATATCAGGCTGATCTGTGTTAATCTCTATAGATGATTGGCTGCACATGACTGGAATTCAATGCAAAATCATGTCCATTGCTGTACTATATAGTCCTTGCTATGCTTCAGACAATTAATTGCATATTTGTTTAAGTTCATTAAGTACTTATAAAAAACAATTAGAAATTTTGAATTACTTTTTTATCTTCACAAATCTTAAGCAGTTTTTTTTAATCTTGTTAATTTTTTTATTACTAATGGGATATCCAATCAGGTAAATTAATTATTTACAATTTCTTAAAATATTATAATTTATACTTAATGCTTAGTTCTAATAATTTATCACAATATAGATCAGATATTTCTTCAATTTATAATTTTTGCACGAGCTTATTTTGCAGTTATCAAATGTTTTTATGTTTGGTAAATAATTTTTTTAATGCAGATTTTATATTGATTAGATTTGCACTTAAGAGTTATATTAAAAGCATAAAGTTTTATACAAATCTCTTTTGAAGTTCTGATGAATTTTAGCCAAATTTAGAGATAATTTCGATTCTGATTTGAGATAATTTAGATAATTATTTAGGATAATTTAGACCCAGATTGAATAACTTTGGTTAGATTTAAGGGATAGATATGGAATAATTTTATTGATAACTTTAACTAGAAAGTTAATTCCAATGCATATTTTATATTAACAAAAAAAAAGAATCACTAGAATAGTAGTGTCTTAATTTAAATTTTCAATCCACATTTTAAACAATACAAAAGCATTTCTTGGTTGATCATGTGGTACAAAATGTGAAGACCTAAAAAATTTAACATACCATAAATTTTTAACCTTTCTAATCTCACCAACTTTTACTCCATCCACCTTCCAATCTTGGAATTTAGCATTATTAAATTCTTGCTGACATTTCCATTTTAATGATTCGATCATTTCATTGCTACCAATCCTTTTAGGAAACAATTATTTAAAAAAAGTTTTCTTAAATACTGTAATAACAAAATTAAAATAAGTTGTTTTAATGTTATATTACCAGTTGCAAATGAAATCAGCATCTCCAACAAAAAACAATATTGGAATATCATTATCAAGAAGAAATTCTACTTGAGACACAGTAGAATGCATTCTAATTAAAAAAAACCAATATTATGATTAAAAGTCAACACCTTAAGTCTAATAAGACTCAAAAATTATTTTTAAATAAGCATACATATCACCAGAAGCAGCAAATCTATTATATATATCTACATTATTTTCCACATAATTT